CATGTTTTGGTCTTTCCATCATTAGCTCTATTGAAAAAGGATAAATAATTAAACAATAGTGAGTAACAGAAACAAAAGTAATCATGTGCAACCTCAACTATAAACGCCAAGGCGTCAATACACACTCAGTATTTACCTGGTATTAGATAGAGTAAGTCGTCGAAAGATAAAATAAATAAAAAGTAAAGTTCAATTTATAGAGTATAAGGCTTGACTTGAAAAATAGTAGAATTAAAAACGGCTCTTAGAACCTTTCACTTTGTATTTTTATCATGAAGTGTATTGGAAACTGGGGAGTTTATATAATCACATAAACGATCTACGAATTACGTCACAGTGAGGATAATTTTACACGTGGTACTACCTTTTCGTAAGCTCCTAGGAAATGATGGAACAAAGTTGAACCGATGTCAGTTATTGATGTGCATGTGGCAAGATGACAATTATGTTGTCATTAGAAACGTTTGGCAATGGACAAGTAGGATCAGCAAATAGCATAATAAGTTTTACATTCGAGTTAAATGAATTCTACCATCTTCCGATCAAAGCCTGTATTTTCTCGGCCTTTCATTTATAAGGAAAATACAAGAACTGGGATTTTTACAATAAGGCGCATTAAACGTTCTGCATCATAAATTTAAAAACCAACAAATTGCTGATGTTCTAAATGTTAAAAGCAGATTGACCGGAAAACCTCATTAATGTTTTAAATAAATTAGAGATTTTTTATTTTCATATTTATTTAAGAATAGAGTATATTATGTCTTATATTTTGCAGCTACAGAGAAATAAATGTCTAATTATTAAAAAATCAATAAAAGTTTAAAAAAAAAAGTTAATTAATTATAACAGTTATATATTTAATATATATATATATAGCTAAAAATTACATCGCATAAATCCTGATTATTAATATTATATAAGAAATATAATTAAGGACCTCCCCTTTTTTTATTGGTTTGCGCTGGGGAAAATTATACATTCGAAAAAAACTCGTTTTTTTTCCAGACAAATGTGAGAAAAATATTTTATTATACCGCTATAATTAGTATAGAATGTATCACGCTGACTTGTATTCATTTTTTGCGTGCTATATCACGCTGTTATTGTACTAACCAATTTATTTACATGACAATATCTCCATTTCTCGCAGTAACTGCTCGAAGCTTGATATAAGCTATCCTTTATTAGTACATATACTCACTTTACTCACTTTTTCTGAACAAACGAGACTAATATTTCACGAGATAAATGCGCAGTACTATTCGGTAGCAGTTTACTTAAGTAAACGTGTAGACGAGTAATAGATCATATGGGACCTTTGCTAAAATCAATGATTTTTAGCCAAATATGTTCAGGTTTAGCATTACCGTAACTCAATTTTTACAATTTTCCCCTTTTTATTGCAAAGGTCCCATATATTCTACATTTAAAATAATTATAAAGTTAAAAATTATCACCAAAAATGAATCTGGGATTGATTCTCTGAACAAGAAAAGCTAAGCTTTTAGATTAGAAAGCCAGCGTGAATTTGAGTATGCTAAGCTTAAAACTGAGAAAACACTGAGCTTTTAATATTAATGTAAAAGATAAATCAGCACAAATTCCGCAAGTTTAATAATTTATTTTAGCAATCAGTTTTGCATGACAGATCACAATATGTTGTAGTGTAGAGTTAAAGAAAATTTTACATAAAAATTATAAAAGCAAATAAAAGAAAGAATGCATAAAAACTATGATTACAGAAGTATATATGAACAGGAAATAATACAAGAAATCAAAAAGTCATACTATTTTTTTTTGTTTTTCTTTTTTTTCTTTTGCTATTTTTGGCTTTCTTATGATAGGTTTCGATTTAGGGTTTCTAATCTTCCTGATATCTAATAACAGTACCATCTGAAAAAGAGAAGGAAATTATATAAAATTATGGTAAAAAAAAATAATCAAAACTTGCATACATACTATTTTTGATTTCAAAAACAGTCCCATCGTCATCAATGTCCTATACCACCTTGCCAGTCCAGGGTTTTGTTGCTGTCTCTACCAAAGAATTTCTAACTGGCCACAACACTCTAAACATCATGTTTAAGTTAAAGATATGACTGTAACATTCTAAGAAAATTATTCTGTAAAGAAGCGTTCCAATAAGAAGCATTCCAATAATGATGATGTGGATAAAACCAAACTCATGAATCTCATTCAGATAATAATTATTTTCTGTTTCTCTGCATAATATAATTTGAAGAACATTTATGATACAATAATAGTCTGTTTTATTGGCAATTATTTCAACTACTATGGGTAATTTTTTGTGAGACACACAAGATTCATCGAGTCTATTACCTTCTAACATATGATGCATAGGATCAATACTTTCATATCTTTTAATGTTATTATTCAATTAAACAAATCTACACTTAGTTCATGCAATGCTTTCCATAGGACAGATTCTGCGTAATTACCCTAGAGATGCATGCATATTTTTGATTCTTTCAACGTTAAGGTAATACTCGTCCATTGATATTTTTGCATCTGATTCACCCTTGATGTCACTATCTTTGATTTCATTTCTTTTAGCATCTTCCTTGTTATTACTAGTAATAACTGCATCCTTTTCACTCTCAGCTCTCTTTGCATTTTTTTTGACAGCTTTTTCATTATTTCTGGTTGTGATATTAAGTGAACTACCATTCTATATATAAATTCTATGATCTTATAGTTCTGTGTTTAATAAGTAAGATTTATTGTGTATAGGCTGTATTTTTTTCTCCTCTTCTTTCTGATCTATTTGCGCAAATGCTTCAATTTTTGTGTGAAAAATATCACCTGATTCTCTAAAGTTACATTCCTAATAAGAAATATAATATAAAAGATATATTGCATCTCATGCTGTAATAATTAGTATCAGTGGGAAATGATCATACATTATTTTCTTACTCATAGATCTGTACAGTATATATCTATAGGTTCTACATAATTTTAGAAAAAAATAACTAAATGATTTAAACAAATCTATTTACTTAAACAATCGTAAAAGTATTGAGTTAATGAGTCCTTCTCAATAAGAAAGTTAAGCAATTATGAAATTAAGATTTTGATTACTATGTGACTCTTTATGCGAATATTATACAGAAAAAAATTTATCAATAGTACAGATCCAATTTATTATGTGGTAATGATTAGTCACTGAGTTTCAGAATGATTAGATACTTCGAAAAAATTAATCTATTAAAAAATTTGTCAAAAAAAAAGTTTTAATGCTAAATCATATTAATCATCTTTTAGGTTAAATTCACTAAATATTTATTAGCAATTTTTTTAGTCGTGATTGACTAAGTATATCGTCTATATAACTTAATGAACATGACTTAAAAAAAGAAGCTAAAACAGTGCTGATAAAGAGATGAAGTATTTCTGTGTCTCGTAAAACTGATGATATATCTTTTTCTATTTAGAATATTAATCATAGAGTTAATGTTTGTTAGGATAATTGTCTTAATATAGATTAGATAAATAAAAAACTATTATATCTGCAGATATTAGTATAGCTTCGCTTTGTAAATAAGCAAAATTAAATCAATAATTTATTTGTTTAAGTTTATGATTATATGATATGGTATGTGTGTCTAAAAAATTTTTTCATGTAATTCTAAATTTGATAAATATGATAGTAAATTCACAAAGCAATTAAAATTTCAAGTTTATTCAATGAGACTTAACTCTTAAAGATATTTGGGATAACTATATATAGATTCTCATAATACTGATTCTCTGTAAAGTTCTTTTTTGAGTGCTACTTCTTAAAGGTTTCCTCAAGTATTTATATATTGCTCATGTTGTTTACCTTATATCTCAATGATAAATTCATATTGTAGATAGTAAATGTCAAATTCTAGATCTCAAAGATGTTTGAGTATTTTAAGATATCTGATTTTGTGAATATCAGAAGATTGTTTAAGAATTTTAATTATGATTTTGCAACATATGCTTTCCTATTATTCAAGTAATATGATTAATTATTTTTAACTTAAAATTAATTAAATTATGATTAAACTTTATATTTAATTTATTTAGTAAAATTAATAAGTAAAAGTTTTAATATATTAAATTAAATTAGTATCATGTTTTAGAGTTCTTTATACAATTAAACCATTTATAACCCTTACTAAATAGTTTTGTTTATTTATAAAAAATTTATCAGAATACAAAGATTTACATATATACATACCTTTCTTATTATAAGTGATTTTCTTAACTTTTATGAAAAAATTATCATTACATTGTGAACTCTTATTAATTCAATACCTTGATCAATATATTACTTAATAAACTTATTTTTTTTTGTATACATATTTTTCTCAGAATATTGATAATAAAAATATATATATTAGAAAATTTTCTTATTTAGTAAAAATACTATTACAAATAAAATTACTATATAAGTTGATTGCTAATAAAATCAGATTCTAAAAAAATTGAGATTTTTGTTGCATTTTATTTTTGATATTATTAAATTAAATGTATTAAGCTCTTAATTTTAGTTAAAAATTTCTCAGAATTCAATTTTCTTAAAAATCTTCCTATATAATAATTGATGAGTATTACAATTATTTAAATAAAGATAAGATTACTTGTTTAAATTCATTTTAGATTTGATAAAATATCTAAATTTTAGTTTAATTAATTTTATTAAAATTTTGATATAGTTTCACATTTTTATATAATTTTACTTTTTTCAGAATTTTGCAGATTTTTTAATAAGATTTTGATATAATTTCACTAAATTTTATTTTTTATCATTTAGATAATTTGCAAAACCTCTGTATTTCGCCTAACAACCTTAGACAAAATATTAGTCTTTTAAGAATTTTATAAAAATAGTAATAAATAAGGGATTAAAATTAATAAATTTTTAGAAGAAGTTGCAAAAAGTCAATATTTTTTGTATAAATTAGTATAATATATAAACTGAAAATATAATATAATTACAATTTACAAAAACTTCTAATTAGATAATTAGACTTGATATATAAAAAACAACCTACTATGAATATTTTTATATATTATATTATTCTTATTTTAGAATTAAGCATACTTTGTTAGTGATTATTTAGCAGAATCTACATAACCTGACTTTTATTGCAAATTGCTCTCTTAAATTGAAATAAAATACATTTACAAATAATTGTTGTATTATTATTTATCTATAGGTAAGCTATTTTTTTATAGTAGTTATTATACCATTAGTCACTATGTATTATTAATGAAGTATATAGGAAGTTTACTAAAAAAATAGGTTTTTAAAAATTTTTTGACTGCAATTAAGACCTTATTATATTTTAATTTAATTATATTAAAAATACAATAAAAATCAAAAAAATTTCTAAATTCAAATATATTTTATAATTTAAAATTCTATATCTAATTTTTTTCATATAATTTTATAGATTAAAAAAAATAATAAATTATGAAATATATGATATCATTATAATTCAATACAAATAGTAAATACATAATTAATATAAATAATAATAAAAACCTAAAATTTGAATCATCTAATTAGAATTATAAATGAAAAAAAATATATAGTCAATGAAATAGTTAATTTTAAAAAGTATCTATTGTTAAAAAACTATTGTAAAATACTTTTGATAATACAAACCTTCATATTAATAAAAATTCATAATGTGCTTGATATTCTTTTATTATATTAAAATAGTTAATAATAAATTTTGAAATATTTGCAGATGCAGGCTAACAAGTTAAACATAAATCTGTTATTATTTCAATTTTACAAATTGAGCTAAAATTGCTATCTAAAAAATTTTAAATTAAGTCAGGTTGATCTATTTATCTGATTTAATCTAATCTGAAATTTAAATCAAATCTGTAGATTTTTAAGTTAATATTAGATCAGTTAATAGGTTGACTTAATTTAGATCAATTAATTATTTTTTTTGAATACTTTGTTATTATTTAATTAGAATAATATATTATTATTCTTTTTGAATAATTTATTATTATTCAATTAAAATGATGTATTATTATTCTTTTTGAATAATTTATTATTATTTTTCTTAAATAATTTTATTATTCTTCTTCTTAAATAATTTATATTATTAAATTAGAAATAACAGAATTAATTAAATAAGTTATTATTTATTTATATTAAATATTTTTAATATTATTTAATGAATAAGTAAGAAAATATTTTCTTTTATAAATTAGATTAAGTCAAATTAGGTAATCCTAATCTAATAAGTTAACTAATTAAATTATATATATAATTAATATATTAAAATTTATTATTTAAATAACATTTATTTAAATAATATAAAATAATTAAAAAATAAAAAAAGAAAAAAAAAATAATAAAATAAAATTAAAGTTTAAATCAGATTAATTATAATAAATCATTTTTAAATAATTTAATTAGATTAGATTATATTAGGTCAGATCAGGTAAGGTTAAATAAAAATTTAAATAAGATCTAACTTAACCTGATCTTCTCTGTTTAGATAACTTGATTGACTTAATTTGAATTGACTTGTTAAAAATCTATTGCTATTTTTTATCTTAAATACCATTTTGACTAATAGATTCAGTCTATAATTATGATGTTATAATCACTAGTAAATAAGTGCAAAAATTGGTAATTCTTTAATGTTTAATAGTTAAGTTAATTGGTTATGAAATTAATCAAAAAATAATTATAAAATTAATGCTTTAACTTGTATCTTGTGATTTCAACTATTATTTTTTACATATTTATACTATACTGTAAACTTGAAAGTAAATTGTCTAAAAATTATATAAAGGTTGAACTTTTGTTTAATTCATTTTACTTAATAATCTAAAATTTATTACTATATAAAAATTTTACAACTTAATTCTCAGAAATAATGAGCAAATTTTAGCAAAATTGAACTTTTTTGCAATTATAAGCAATCAAAATGACTTGTAAATTACTTTCTTTTTAATTGAATTTAAATAGGTTAGATTTGAAGTTTATAAAGATGATGTAATCATTATTGTAAAAGTAACATATAAATTTAATAAAATTCTGTTTTTAATACACTACCTATCAGAAAAAGAAATAAATAAATTATACTTACACATAGTACTAGTAAACAGATCAAGAATTTGTCTAAGTAAACTGATGCCTATATTTGATTAGTTAACATTCATCTATATTTATAATGATGAAATACTTTTATTTAATTTATAGATAAAAGATGAAGAAGCAAATATAAAAAGAGCACTTCAGTTAATATATTTAAGAGAAATTATATGCATAGATGAATGTGAATTAAGTCATTATTTAACTGATATCTAGCAAAGTTTAATTATGACCTGAGATAGTGCTACTAAAACTACATAATGAAGGCATTAAATCACGAAAGTTCACAAAATTTACACTTTGCTTAAAAAGGCAGAAGTATATTCTAATGATTGCAGATGCTTTAATATTTTGATTGTATATTTATACCTTTGTGTGATTTTTTTTTGTTATATGGATACACTTTATGGAAATTTGAGTATTTTGTACTTTCAATATCAGTATTAGTACTAATTTTCCAATCATTAATAATTGTAATCTAGTCAGAGTATTATATGTAATCAGTATTACATGCTATCCTATTGCTTTATGAAACTGGAAATATGTTAATTAATATTTTTAAGTAGTTAGTAATGGTATTAAAAAAATAAAAAAAATTTTATTCAAATATTAGATAACATTAGATGTAATAAAAAATATTGAAAAAAAGTGAACGAAAACTATTAATAAATAAGTTTAATATGTTTGTATTTTAAGCATGGTGTTTATTGCATAGCACTTTGTAATTTGCAGAAGTAAAATTAAAATTAAAATTTATTTTACTACACCTTCTACGCAGCATTTTAGTGTTGGCAAATTTCAAGGTCATTTCCCTTTTTTTG